AAGGCAGGCTGTGCGATCTGCCCCTTCCCGAGGACGGCTACACAGCCGTCCCCTCCGCCTCCGCGGCAGGACTCGGGAATGCTTCCCAAGCCTGGCCGTGGCCTCATCCCATGCCAGGACGAGCCTCGTTGTGCACCACCCACCCAAGAGGGATGGCCCGGGGCTCCCGGGGGAGCAGCACCCTGCAATCGATGCCCCGTGAGCTTGGGAAACACCTCCTGGGCAGGCTGGGTCCCTGCAGATCTTTAGCAATGCAATTGCTGAGGCCTGATCCCCCCCCCCCAGCTCTCCCCGTCTCTCAGCACGGGACAGACCTTTTACCAACGCCGCCAGGCCTCAGCCAAAGCCTGCATGGGAGACCTGACGTGCCGGTTCCCGCAGGCTCACCAGCAAGGCTTGACTTGCAAGTTGTTATTGAGTCAGACGCAAAACGAGGGCAAAGGACACGGGGATGCGCAGATAAGGAGCAACCAGGAACCCCCCCCCCCACACTTCTGCCTTTGATCAGGGCTTGCGAAACATCGCTCCCTCGGTGCCACCCTCCCTGCCAGGCAGCCAACACCCACCCAGCCACCCAGCCGCTGCCCGCACCCAGGGCTCGGGCAGAGCATCTCCCAGCAGGGGAAAGGTGACATCTTGCAGGCTCTTGGCCACCACAGAGCCAGCGGTGCAGGACAGTGACAATGCAAACTTCCCCGCGCACCTCCCCGGTCTGAGGATCGGGGAATCCGACCTGCCCAGCCCGCTCCGTTCCTGGGAGAGGCGGCCGAGCACCATCAGCGGGGTCTGGCAGCGCAGCCCTCTGAGCCTGCTGCTGCTCACCTAGCATGTTGGTTGGCATGCCCAGGAGGGTGTGCATCAGGTCATGGACTTCTCGGTACCGCTGGATCACATATGCCAGCTCTTCATCATCAACAAACTTGGGTGGCATCCGGGTGTCTGGAGAAACCTTCTGCAAATCCAAAGAGGTCCAGTTCAGCCCCTTCCAAACCTCAAGTTTCTGATCCTGTTCTTTAATGAACAGAAGTACGTGGCCCGCTCCATCAGCACGTCTCCCAGCCCCTGATGATGGGGGTCAGCGTCGTTTACACAGATGAAACCCAAGGACTGCACAGCACTAGTGACACATCCAGCATCGTCCAACACCCAGCATCTCATCCCATCCCCCCGACTCCCTCTCATTCCCGAGGGTTCCCCACAGGTTCCTCCACGGCTCCAATCTCCCTCTAAAGCGCATCCGTGCTCCCGGCACAGGGATCAACCACAGCTGTTTGCACCCTGTGAAACCCCACACTCACGTTATCCTCCAAGAACCGGACGTACTCTCGGCCCAGCGAGCCATCCGGCAGCCCCTGCAGCCTGGCCATGTCCAGGGTGGAGAGACGGATGCGAGGCCGTTCCCTGAAAGCAAAACACAGGTCAGTGAGTCTCCCAGTGAAACCCACAGTGGGGGGTCCTGGAAAAAAGGAGCCCCTGGAAACCCCCATCCCCTGCCTCTGCCCTTCCCGGGCATTTTCCTTGTACAGATCCTGCCTGCTCGCTGCAGAGATAGCACCGTCCTTGTTTCTGTTGCTGAGGCTGGGACACAAATTGCTTAAAGGATCTATCTGAAGCCTTGGCAATAAAGGAGCTCTCATCTTGTGCCCCTGTAAAACTCTGGATGGTAAAACACTGGTGTCCTCTGCACCGAAACGCTGCCATGCGGGCTGCTGGCCCTGCACAATCCCCAGCAACAGCTGGCCCTGGGGGAGCAGAGCTCTTTAGCGTCCCTGCAAAACAGCCGGAGCTTCAAAGGAACAGCCCTAAAGAGGGGAGGGAATTTGTTCTAAACGCAGGTTTAATTTCTTTCCTGCTCAGGCTTTCACCACCAGCCACGTGGCAGCCATGCATGGAAAGGTCTCCTCTCCAGGCTGCTGGCAAACAGGTGCCAACAGCCCTGGCACTAAACAAAAGCCTTTTTATTTCCATGCACAGGATAAATTCTTCCCATGATAAAAGCCCTGCAGTGGATCCAGGAGCTGCTCAGCTCCTCCTCCTGGAGCAGAGGTGCCAGAGAGATAAGCAGGACTCGCACCAGCTTCACCCTGGCTGCAGATGCAGAGACCTCAGCAGCTTGGGGGATTACAAAAAAAGGACTTGTGTGCACAAATTGGACCACTGCAAATCCCTGCAATACCAGAGGGCAAGGAGCAGGTGGGGACATCTCTCCCCAGCCCTCGGTGCCTTTGCTGTCCCCTCTCCCTGGGCAGCTTCTCTAGGGCTCAGCCCCATCCGGGGGCTCAGCTCCATCCTGGTGCTCCGTGTGCTTTGCCGGGCCAGCATCTGGAGCCAGGATCAGGCTGCTCTGCACAAACATACGGCAAAAGGCAGCTTTTCCCCAGCTCCAACATGGTGCAACCCAAATGATACACAAGCGGCAGGCGTGACACATAACCAGGAGCAGGGAGAAGGCAAGCAAATAAGCAGTAAGATCGTGGTTAATAAGAGACTCATGAAGTCCCTCCTGGTCCTCAGTCTTGCTGCGCTCGACAGGTCCCTGTGGACATGGAAGCAAAAGTGATCAAGTCTTAACAAGGAAGACGAGACGTGGCCTCATTTCACAGCTTGGGGAGATGCTGTGGGTGCCAGGAAAGAAAATACAGAGGCGTCTAAGGAGGAGGCAGACCAGTGGAGACAAAGTCTCCAACGCAAGGAGATGCAGCAGCAGGCCCAGGGGAGGAATCCACGGACGTGGTGGCTTTTCATCGCTGCTCAGCATTCACATCCATGGATTTCTCCCCTGGGCCTGCTGCTGCAATTCCTTGCGTTGGCGCCTGCCAGTTCCAGCAGCGAAGCAGAACAGACAGACAGACAGCAGTGCCTGAAATGGGGCTGGGCCCAGCGGCTGCAGTGCTCTTGCCCTTAGACTTGTCATGGCGCTCTTGTGATCGTTAAAAGAAAGTAAAATAAACAACCTGGAGGGTTAGAGCTAACAAAACGCCTGTGCTGCTTTCAAGCTGGGGAGCGCAGGGCTCTCCCTTCACGCGGCCCAAGGAACGTGCTCGGCCTCGCGTCGCCCTCCCCACCACGAACCGCACAGCGCGGGAGGGGGGGATGCGGAGGGACGCACTGGAGGATGCGGTAACCTTCAGGGTGGTGTTTCATCTTGTCTCGCAGGTTGGGCAGGGCAAGGCAGCCTGTGGTCTCCCCGAGGACTGCCACCATATCTGAAAGAGAGACCAGAGAATGACCCAAGAGTGGTTTTTGCAACACCCAGCTGTCCTCGGTTAGCAGGTGAGGAAATGGGGCAACGAACCCCTTGGCCAGGAGCGGCAGGAAGCCTGTGGCAAAGCAGGGACCCCACGGGCCACGGATCTTCAGCCTCGGGGCTGCTCTACCCTCGTGTCACCGAGGGAGGGATGCAGGAGCAGGCATGAGGCCTGGGGGGCCAAGGAGGAATGAGATGGGGCTGGGTGGAGTTGCAGGGGGTCAGGAGGAGATCACCGGGGGGTGTTTGGGGTTCCTCACCCCCTCTCTTCCACAGCCTCCTGCCCTGGGCCAGGTCTCAGCCCTGCACTTGCCCCATTACTGAATGTCTCACCCAACAGAAGGAGAAATAAAGTCCCCTGAGAAACTCCCAGGAGACACGGGGCAGGATTTGCTGGACGTTAATGAGAGCCCTGGGTGTAACGAGCTCCCCTGGCCCGGCTTACCGTGTCTGTAGGGGTCGTAGAGAGCCATAAACGCCGAGCCGGCAGCCAGCAGCGCTTTCTGCAGCGGGCTGGTGGGGATGTGCCCGGGGTACAGCTGGTAGCACCCTTCCTCCTCCTCCTCCTCCCCGCTGCGTCCATCCCGGCCCCGCGGCTCGGCGTGGCTCAGACAGGCCCTGCCTGCGGGGAGCAGGGGTGAGGAACCGGCCCGGCGGCTCCCCGGCGC